TGATCCTCATGCTCAACAATAATCCTTTAAATTTTCTAAAGAGCTTTTTCCTCCCAGATGTTAATACCTACAGTTCTTCGTCATTCTGATACAAATCAAATTGTTCTGGAAATCTTTCATTTGTCAATTCCCATAAATAAGTCTCTCTTATAACCTTCAAATATCACAGTTTGTGTCATGTAGAATTTGCATTCCCACTAACAGACAAAAAAACTGAGAAAAAGCAACAAATACTAATGGATAAAGCAGTGAAAATTCAAATGCTACAAAAGTCTGTCTACATATTCCCAGAACCCATCATTCCCTGCTTCAGAGGTAGCAAATGGTCAGGAAGAACATTCATAGACAAGGAAATAACATGCTCAAAGGTCATCAAAATCGCTTGCAAGATTAGACAGCGAAATCCATCTAATAAGATTGGAAGTGAGCACATTTGACCTTGGTTGAAACTTTTCCCACAAAAACATTAAGAAATGTTATCAGTATACCTTTCAGTAGAGCTCCCCCCGTGCAAATGAATGTATCTTTTCTGATAGAAATCACTAACGTCTATTCACAGTTGCATGTCTGGCAGGAAGCAGGCAACTTGTTCCTGCCAAATGTATAATGTGATGCATTCAGAAATCAGCTTGTTTGGAGAGAATTCATATTAATAAATATTAATAATAAATATTAACCATTTTGGCCAACCTGTACATCTTTCAAGCCATATTCTGAAAGAATCACTAATGATTTGTAGTTAAAATGGACATTTATCTTGTCTCACTAAAGCACAGCTTGAAGTGGCCAATTCCTCACCCACTAGGTCATGCTACAGTACAAACAGAAATCGTCATTAATAAAAGTATTATAGGCAACCAGAATATGTCTTTTTCAGATATATAGAACATCTCTTGGATATGTTTTTTTTTTTAATAAAATCATGTCTTCCAAAAATCTGTGCCTTTAGCCTGTGCTGATCATTATTCAGACTTGCCCCCCAATTGTTTTTGTACATATCCTCAAATTCTATTAGCTTCATCAGATGTTAAGTGTTGTTTTGCCTTCTTGATTACAGCTGATGAAACTCACCAGTCCTAGCTAGCTTTGACTTAAATATCTTATACAGGTATACACATGTCCCTGTGGCATGCATCTCTACTTCCGTTACTCAAGTTTATCCCATTCACTTTCATGTGTTGCCATGCACAGTTTCTCAGTTCTGGACAGAAATAGCATGAGAGTTTGTTTTATCTATATCCAAAATTCAGAATTGTCCAGATCCACAGAACCTTTGAGGGAAAGCATCCACCTGCTAGCAAGAGAGCTCAAATACAAACACAAGTGGGTCACCATGTTCAGATCTATCGCTACGACAGATTTTGGGCTTCTGTTTAATGTTCCATTTGCCTGAGCCTTCAATTCTAGATTCAAGTAATCAGCAGCCACTCTATTCACTGCAAGGCCGCCTTCTGCTATCAGATCAGATAAAGAACTTGTGTTTCTGTCAAACATTTCAGCGTTCACTCAGGACATCTGGGCACTATGCCCACCAGTCTAGCTCATGCTTGTTGTACTGGATTCCAGTTGGATTGGATCCAATGCTGGCTGGATGGTGAAAGCTCAGATAACGATGAGCCCAAAAGTCTGCTGTCCTCAACTTCCCCCTTCTCAGAACTGTTGCTGAAGCCACAAATTTTTTTGCATATGGCTGTGTGCCACAAGGGGAAAATGAACTCAAGGGGTCTTAGGGAGTCTCTATGTAGAATAAATGTTTCTGTTTTTTCCTCATTTCGCAAGAGTGCTTGAGATGTTCAGATGAAAAAAACTCTTTCATACCGTGAAAATTTCCAGGGTAAGCTACCAAAAATAGCCTTTTGACTTTACTGGCCACTTTAATGGCAGATAGATAGTATATCCCACATTACTTGTCTGGCTTGTAATTCTGTCCACCACAGCACAGAGGAATGGAGAGATCCCAGCTGTAGAAGGGACTGAGGAGATCCAACATCAGTATAGAACAAATAAAACGATTTCCTGCAGCTAAACCCTCCACCTTCTGACTTACAAACAACATATATTGCTTAGAAATATAGCCAGTCTTGAAGGCAGGCGCATAATATCTGCATCCTCTTTGAAGCTACTATTTCACATGTGACTGATTCTGCTTTTTAAGCATATTCAGTTTAGAGTCATTCTTACCACTACCTCTTGTCATATCTGGCACCATGCAGGATTCACTGAAGCCACTGTCTAGTGACTTTCAAGCCATACACTGTCATGGTCACTAGAGTGGAATAGTTGCCTCCTTTCTCATCCGACATGTTTTACATTTGATTTCAGTCCGTAAACAGGCAGAGAGAGCAGTGTGTTCGCTAATCTGAACTAAGTTTTGCTTTAGCCAATGGAGTCGGGAGAGTAGTTTCCAGTAGGTAAGAGGAATTTCAGAGACTGTTCACTTGAACAAAGCACAGATTTCAGCTAAATGTGAGCAAAAGGAAGAAAGGGGACTTGTAATAATCAAGATGCTCATAATAAGAAGAAATACAAAGCCAAGAGAAAGAAAAGCACGATGAGATATTTAGATATCTATATATTCTAAACAGTGAGATATGTAAGAAACACGGTAAGCTGGCTGTGGAGGAGCAGTCATAGAGATACCAGTCAGAAACAAGCATCTCACTTGACATACTGAGTTAACTTGTCACACCTTGTAAAAAGCTAAGTGATTTTCCCTCTGACTTTATCAGGCAGAAGGCCACTAGTGCTTATTGGCAAGTAAGGCCTCAAATGGCAAAATACTCTATTTATGGTTTGCTGAAGCAAGGTATGGTGGTTCCCTGTAAAACCAATCTGTGAAGTAGCAGGTACAATGAATTCATAACATATCTGCAAACAACAGGCAATTCAGTTAGGTCTGGAAAAGGAAAAAAAAGTTTTGTCTCCTGCTATTGCAAAACCAGAAGAAAAACCACAAGCAAAATTATGCTGAATCACAGCACGAGCCCACTGCAAGAAAACATGACCGTGCTTATACAGAGACTTTCATTTGCACAAATTTTGATTCCAAACAACATTCTCTTAAATAAATACTTGAAACTGTGGAAAAGTGACTACTGGCAACAGGAATGCATACTTTGCTATTCACATCTCTAAAGAAGTGTTTCCTCAAAGATGTCTTTGGCCCCACATGAGAGATGCTGTGGCTGTTGTGATTATCTCTCTGTGATCTTTCTTCTTGTTTGGATGAAGATGCTCTCTCTCGCAGAACAGCTTCTGCAACCTAATGGGAGAATTTGTTATAAATATATGATTTTAAGTTCAAGTCACAGCTAGTAGAATCAAAAAACCCTCAAAGCTATCTGGTTTTCTGTTGTAATAAAAATGATGATATTTAAATGCAATGAATGAAATTCCACATCTTGTTCTGCTAGGGACTGAAACTCCCTAGTATCAGACACAACTATTTTTGTATATGGCATCCTAGCATCTTTATATACAGCATCCTAATATTACTCTCACACAACAAAAATCTTCAGTGGTTTGAGCAGTAGTTCTACATCACCAAATGTCTCAAAGCAGTAGAAATAATAGAGAAATCTGGCCTACAACAGAAATCAATTAGCTTTTTCTTATCCTTGCTTTTAGTGGAATTTTTCTATTTTTTCATTCTGTACATGTGACTCTAATCTTTTTTTCTGACCTTCACAATCTGAGAATGAGTCATATGAACAGGTAGGTTTGGGAAAATTAAAAATAAAGTGAAATGTAACTTGAAATGACATTTTCAATGGAACTTCATAGTGTTAGGTGAAAAATATCATTAACAAGTACATTAAAATCAAATAAAAAGAGAGACCAAAACTTCTTCACTCCATAAAGCAAAGGACAGGTTAATTGGTGGTTCTAACATCATTTAAAGCTACATTACTAGAAATTAGATTTGCAAATTAGGGAAATACCTAAGAGTAAATGGCTCAATTTTAGTTTCTCCTAGGTTCAGCCACTCTGTGGAAGAGTAGGATTCATCTCACTGGACTGCACCATCTAGAAGACAATTATCTGTTCTAGTCGCCTTGATGCACATAGGATGAAATTGATCCCACTTTAAAGGCACATATTTTTCTCCCTTGAATACACAAGGAGGTGAAAGGACCCACTCAGAACAGATTTCTGTCTTTTGAATTCTAGTCTGAGCCATTTAATTTCACCAAGACTTGCTGTCTCCTGTGTAAGAAGTGGGTAACAGCATTCTTCTCCCTTCCTTTAACTCCCTTAAATGAAGTTACTCAGTTATATAGTAAGGTAGCAAGTAACCCTACAAGTATATTAAACAAATAGGATGCTGAATGAGAAAGGGCAATAGAATCTGTTAACCTATGATTAAACCTCTTTGATTTTAGATCACCAGAGACATTTACACTAGTCAGCTATATTTTCCACCCTGATTGTCTTTCCTGCTCCACCCCAGTGTAACTCCCGTTCAGGAGTCCAACTTGTGCCTTTGTAAGGCAGGCCACTGAGAGTATTTTTTTTGTCCTAGAAAGTTTACAGCAAAAAAAAAGAACTGAAATGAGATTTAATAAAAGGTCCCACTATACCTATTGCCAGAAACCAGCCTGCATCTGGCTGAAGAGCTGTTTTGTTAAAAAGGTAAATGGCATTATATACATAAATACTAGAATTAATTTCAGGAGACTTTAGTTGTCTAATTTAGGCACTGAATCTAAATTAGTTATCTAGAGTCCCTCTCTAGTTAGTGGAGGGAGACATCTGCCCTGATATAAGCGTCTAAGATGATAGGTTGGCTGAATCACCTTGTAGAGGTACCCACCTCATGGATAACTGAAGCTAAGTGGAAGAGGGCCACACAAAGAGTGTATTTTAACATGGCTTACTACAGAGCTGATTTCCCCCGCTTCAGGCTAAGCAAAAGGAACAGTATTCACACGTGCCAGCTCCAAAGAAAAACTACACCTGAATTTTTCAGATACTCTTAAACAGATAATGTCTTCTAGTACCAGGGTCTCTGATTTTCTGTCCATGAAATTCACAGCTTCTGGGGGTTTTTCTGCTTTCCATCTCTGATGTTCTGAAACTCTGAGCTCATCTCGAAGCTCCATGTTCTGCCTGGTCAGCATCTCAACCTGGTCTCTCAGCTTGCCATAGGCAGCATGCCAGCAGGACTCATTTCTCTTGAACTCCTCCTGCAGTCCCGCAATCTGCTGTTTTAGTATCTACCAGTAGAAAAAAAGTGTGCCATGTCATTGCCTGCTCTGGACTAGGCATGCCCACCTTATACACCCAGAAGGAAGCATGGAGTTTTTTGTTCTGCTTAAAGGTCTACAGTATAAAGGTCTTCAATATAAAGGTCTGCAATGTAAAAAGAACACATTTGAAATGATTTCTTAAAAAAAAAAAAAAAAAAAAAAAAAAAAAAAAAAAAAAAAAAAAAAAAAAAAAAAAAAAAAAAAAACCACTACCCTGCGAACTCCTATATTTAAAACAAACCAATTGTTACAAGCAAGCAGAGAGAAGTCCTTGCTGTGTGAAGGAAAATCAGGAAATGCAAACTAACCATGGAAACAAACACCATTAAATGTGGATATTTTCAAAAAAAGGCAAGGATACAAGGTATATTTTAATGGCAAAAATGTCAGTTCATCAAATCTTCATGTAGTGACAAGGGCACGTGATTAGTTAAATGGTCCTTACAAACAGCAGTGGATCGCAGAGACATAGTTTTCAACTGAGTTCAGGAAAACGAAAGTAGTGAAATTTGGTGCATTTTGGAGAGGACTTTTCCATACACACGCATCTCCATTATTTTTCCCTACTCCCTTCTCCTTCCCTCACCCATGCTGATGCCAACACTGAGTCCTCTTCCTTCATAGCACTCATGCTGGATGCTACAAATGCACTGTTGGTGGAGTTAAGCTAGAAATGTGCAGTTTGCTCTGTAGTCAACCAATCGTGACGTGCAACCCTTTCCTACTTTCCCTTCACTTGTGTATCTGCCCACTTGTGTCCTCATCACCATCCTTTCTTTGCTGTGAGCTGCCTGGTCAGAATTTGGCACATCCATTGGCCATCTTCAACAAGCAGCAGACTTCTGAACTTGGGAATCACACAGATAAGTGTCTCAGTGTTTTGTAATTGTTTTGTGGAAAACTAACTTTTTGAACCTGCACTCATTATGTTCTCAGGTGGGAACAAAAGATTAAAACAATTCTATCAAACTTCATCTCTAGGGCTAGACCTAGTCAAGAAACATAATTATTCCCTGGCAAAAATTCTAACCATTTTTTTTAAATCCCAGGTAGAAATAAAGCTGATGTTTAAAAATATTGTGCAGAGAGAATATTCAAAATATTTTTATTCAAAATACTAAAATAACCTCACTGAAACAGTTAATCATTTCCTGTTGTAAATGTTACCTCTGGAGAAATATGGAACATGAGCAGAGAAAACATTCAGTATGTGTATGGTACAAAAACATGTATTTCAAAAATGTACAAATGAAAAATAAAGAAAGTATAGAAAGTTTGAACAAAGTACTGTCTTGCCAGTTTCATTTGTTCTGAAACTTTTCTGGTCAAGAAAATCATTGAAATTGTCAGTTTGCTGTCAAATATATCAGTTTGGTTTAGACATCCTTTTGCAGCAGTACATTATTCCAGACATTTCTGAGCATTACCATTGCCTACTTTTTTATCCTACAAAAATATAGCTTTTAGCTGCCCCTGTCTCCTTTATCACCATCTCACATGGCTCACCATTTTTTCTTCTCTTTATCAGTGACTCTTCTAGAAAATTACTTAAAGTCATATTAAGTTTAGCTAGTTTTAATAGGGATAATAGCCACAGATATTCAGAGATTACTTTATCACTAAGGAGGCTGAAATACAGGATTCAAGCAGATAGAATCCCCTAAAGGAACTTAAAAGAAACTACAATAAATGACTCAGGGATGTTATTAGGCAGGTTAGGTTGTTAGATACACAGCTAGATATCATCAAAATACCTCAAAGCCAAAGGTCAGGATAGTTTAAAGAAAAAAATCAACAAACTCCGAGCTCAGGGATGAGAATAGAGAATGATGGCAAATAACTCTGTGCCACTGGCATAATGGTTCTTTATATCAAAAAGATGTAAAGCCCACTATGGCAGGAGTTGGAAATTTTTCAAGAGCAAGCTCAGCTTTGGGAAAACCAGTACAAGGAAGTAGAAGGAACATGGGAACCTCCCAACCTCCCTTATGAAATAGAAGGCACAACCTAATTTTTTTCTTATATAAAGGAAGTGAGACGTACATTTAAAACACAAACTGAAGCAATGTCCTATTAGCATGAAAAATCTTCACTGTACACACAACTGTCCTCAAGAAGTAGCATGAATAATTGGCCATCTGTGACAAATGGAAGGATTCAGGTACAACCATAATATGCCTGCATGGAAGGATATTAATTGACGAGAACTGCATATTTATTCTACAGAAGACAGCTTACTTTTATTTCTTCTGACTTCACATTTTCTCCAGTGACTCTAGCTGTTCCTTTGAACTTGCTATGGGCAATTTTTTCTTTCTGAAGTGGGTAAATTTGGTCTTTATTGTATTCCAAAGGGTGAGTCAGCTCCTGGCTCCTGACAGTCTTGAGCTGGTCCATTCGTGTTCTGTTCGGAAGGTAAACAAAGAGTATGAAGTTGGCATAAAGACTATAACAAAGGACTGTCTTTAGATGCGCCTTCTTTGGATGTGATTTTTGAGGGACTTAGGCATGTCCCATATATGCTGATGCTGCTGGGAGTGGCAACAAGTTATGAGCACTTGTCAAAATTGAGGTCCTTCATCACTGGGAACACTCATGCATGCATTCAGCTGCAAAATTTATTCCATAGAGCAGATGGAACAATTCTCATATTGAGATTTTCTGACAACGTAATGACCATGAACTTAGAGGCTTTTAAACACTTCTGTTCAGAGAGAGAGCTGAATTAGGGCAGACCCGCAGAAGGCACGGCGTGTTCCCTGGCGTTGTACCTATGAAGAACTTCATCATGCAAGGCTGGGGACTGAGCTGTATTTCCAGCAGCCCAGTCATTCCTACAAATGAGAACAGCCATGGACCTGAATGAAAGGGGATAAAGTACTGTACTTTCCATAGCTAAATATACTCCAAGAGTTAAATGTGGGAGCTGAGCACCCAGAAGAGATTTTGCCTTTGAACTCAATGTCTCAAGGCATGAGTGGTCTGGAAGTGCACTTAAAAACTTAGCAAGAGAAGAAGAGTATAAATCTTTACTTATTCTCAAGTATATTGGAGTATATTTGTATGACTATGATCACCATGCTTAGTTCATTTTTAATATGATATTAAATTATTTGTTAGCTTCCTGCTTCAGCTCACTTCATGACGTACAGCCACCCTCTGGCCATCACTATTACTCGAAAAGCAACAAGAGCTACAGGAGGCAGCCATGACCTCATGTTTTCCTCTCAATAATGGAGTTTAGCACTTCAGCAGCAAAATATAAAAGTTCTCAAAGATACTAAGAGATAAACAAACTCCCCATATCCTGCTGCTCTTTACAATTCATTACCTAATTTTTATTTTTTCGTTGTTTTCTATCCTAAATAAGCCTACCTAATATTCTGGTTAAAGGCATGCTAAAAAAAGTCTCATCAATAGTCAATAGAAGTATTAATTATCCTCATATTAATACAGTTAAATTAGCAAATATAGCCCCTGTGTGATTATGTCCAGCCCACCACTGCTCCATATCCAGACCAGTTGCCCTGAAATAAAACATACTAGAACAAAAGCAAGATGCAAGGTTTATATATAACATCTTCCACTGAAGACTGAACAGTACTGTCTTAAGTTTCTTGCACCCTGTAAAATAAAATCCAGGTGGCTATTCCTTCCAGAAGCTCAGGTGATATCAACCTCTTCAGAATTGCACAAAAGTTACATCTGTACAAACAAACGAATCAGAGCCGGAGCACGAACCCAAGCGTGCAATTGCCCAGAGTGCCATATTGCTAGCATGACCTCTGGTCTTGGCATCAGCCATCCAGCACTGTACTAGGCAATGCTGGGCAAGGTTTGGAGGTTAGCGCAGGCCAGGGATCATGTCCAGCAGACGACTCAGATGCAGCCACCCTGGTCTGCAGGGTAAGACAGGTTAGTCATATGGAGGTGTTATGCTGTGCCTCTTTGCCTCAAGGCTAGAAAACAGACCTTGGCCTGAGGAAATGTAATAACCAAGGACACCAGGAGCACACACAATACTTCTTTGGAGCCTCAGACAATCAGTTCATACCCTAGCTATAAGTTGCAAATAGGAGCTAGGTGCACAACACAAATATAAAATATAGAAAAAAAGGCTAAGTACTTTGTGCTAACTCAAATTCTTGCATGAGCCCCAGGCATACCTCTGCATGAGGCTCATCGCAGCAGGCTGGCTGTGAGGCAAAAACATACATTTCCAAGAAAAAACCTTTTAGCGAAATGCAGATGGGAAAAAAGCCAAACCTGCTGGCTACTGCTGTTAGTCCAGAAAGAGAGCAGATTCAACGCTACAAGGAAATTATGTATTAAAAATGGAAACAAGTTGTCCTTGTTGAAGGAACAAGGAAATGACCATCATTCAATCCTTCAACTGATGTCAAGGGTAACTACCTCAGTGCTGCAAGGATGGAGCCACAGGCTGCTGCCTTGAGCGCACTCCAGGCTCTGTTAGGCACCAGATACACACAACACACTACATCCCAACTGTTTCCACCCTCTTGCCTGTATTATTTGTGCCTGCAAAGGTCTAAAACCAAAGTGCTTGGAAATGAAAGAATGGACAGACTGGGCATGTCCAGGCATGTCATGCTGCTGTCAAAAGGATTTTCATTGCTTCCAGGGAGCTCAGGATGTCAACATGGCGCAAGTGAAATGCTATCAATGTAGCGGTCGTCTTGTGTTCCTAGTAGGCTTACTGGTTTAAAAATCCGAAGCAGTTTCTCGGATTGCATACATCAGCACAGGGCCAATGCAGTCAAGGAGGAGAAGCTGCCTTTCGCAATTAGTTTTAGCTCATAAATTACAAAAAGTGAGTGGAAAGATGCACACATTATACTAGGCAGGTATTTTTGGATAAACATCTGTGTGAAAATGTTAGGGGCTACTATGGCTAATGACATGAATAAATCTGCAGAAACCTCTTTTAAAAACCTGCACTATTACGAAAAAATCAAATCCATGTCATCTGTGAGGCAGCACCATCAGCAGGCAGAGAATGCAGTGCTAGCAGAGTGCACTGCAGTACTTCTGCACTAATACATCCCTCCACAGCCAAAATTTACACCAGTAAAAGTAAAAGCAGAACCTAATTTCGTTAGTAGTTTCATGAACTGCCAAATCTCACAAATATTCACATCTGCAACACCTATCACAGTCAGCTGGCGATCATCTTCCAATATGTTTGCAAGATCACAAACAAGAAGGGTCTTTAATGAAATCATTTATTTTTAAGACATTGAAAGTATTTTGCTAAAAGACAGCTATAGGAGGAAATAATACAAACTAATAAATGTAATTCAGGAATATCCTTTAACACTAATCCCATGGCCTTTGAAACCAAAAGGAATGAACAAGCAGATGTAAAAAATAAGTTCTTAATTTGCATTATATATTAAATATTCAAAACAATAAATTGTGCTTATTTGGCACTAGCTAGGAACGAGGCTTGAGATGTAGAAAGGAAAAGAATCTCTCCTGTGTTTACAGTAGATGGTACCTAGTAATTTCTAACAGATTTCATCACATTAAAATATATATGCTTGATTTGATTGTAAGTATGCTAAATTTTCATTAGAGGCATTTGCATAACCTATAATTAGTTACAGTTGTGATGGCGCTTCCATTCCAAACCCCATACTTTCAAAACTTATTTCTTGCAGGGATTTTGTGGTAAGGAATTATTTCACTTCTATGAAGATGTAAACCAAAACAAAACCAATTTTCAGCACCTAATAATTACAAATTACAAAACCAACCATCTTGGATTTTCAAGTTCTTCATCTATATGGTACCAAACGCATCCTCAGTCTAGTCTGAAGATAGGTATTTCTGAAATAACAATGCTGTTGGCATTGATATATGCTATACACTTTTTGTTAACTTTGGAAATACGGGCTACCCTGATGTGAATGTGATATGAGAAGTTTATCCTTTACTCCATCAGAGGCCTGATCCCATAAAATAAATTATCTGGAGTTCTTACTGATTTCAGTAAGATGTTCAGCAACTTATAAAAAGCATTTGGCATTACTCAGCTTTAAGACCCAAACTGCACCAGTGTTTTCAGAGTTGGCCCCCTTCAGTTAGGCACTTTACTTTTTATCTAGACAGCTAAATAAGTGTTTCAGTTCTGAAACAACATAGATGCAGTTGAAAAGAGGCTAGCTAATAAGTATGAATTTAACAGTCTGATTTTAGGGATCCTAAAGGAAATATTGACCTTACTGCACACGCAAATCAATTTCTGGTATATACAGATTTACCTGAGAAACTGCATTGCTTTCTCTTGTTCTTCTTTCACTCTAGTCAGTAAAGGGGTTCCTCCGTGATATACACCAGTCTCTAATCCTCTGGTAAGGATGTTCTGGGTTTCTTCTATAAAGACATCTATATTAGTACACAGAACTTTGTGAATATTTATGAACCCTCTACGTATTTAAAACCACAGACTGCATAAGTGCAGTAAGCTTTATTGCTTAATCTATCAAACAGAATTAATGTGTTTGCCTAATTATGCAAGTATTCCTTTCCTAGCATAGTTCTTAGCAGTGTAATCCAAGCCCTACAAATCACGGTAAGTAAAACATATTTGGGGATATATCAGTGTCAGTAGCTGAATTCCTTTTCAGGAATGTGAATGCCACATGATAGTTCAACCTTATTTTGAATGTAACTTTCAAAGAGGCCTCAGGAACCCTTTTTTAACAGCAGCCTGACATGGAGTAGAGTGTGCTTAGCAAGTTGTGACAGAGCAATTGAGAACCATCAGAAGTTAATATTTCTGCCCTGGCGATTACTGCAGGTAGGACAACTGATTTTGACTGATCTTACACAAAGAGACAGCGAATGGGTTTGGGATGAGGAGTTAATGTGGGGGAAGTCCTTCAGTGAAAACTAAGAGAGAAGAAAAGTCAAGAGCCAGTTTAATAAAAAGGATTAAATCCTGCTCAAGCAGGATACCATTTCATTGCCAGAAGTAAGATCACTGGGCCAAAAGGCTAGAAAGATTGGTTGACTGAAGAACTGGGACTGCATTCAGGACAAACTGAGTGAAGATGTTCTTAGGAAATCATCATTTTCCACTGATCTGAAGCTCTCTGTGTCTTAGGAGCAAAACATACAAATTTGAGAAATTATTTGGCCCACCTTTTTTGAAGTCACCTTATCTCTGAGGAGGGTAAATAGAAAATGTGAACATCTTGTTGCCAAGGTGTCAGTGAGAGGAACATACCTAAGCTACGGGGAACTCTAGCACTGACTCCAGACACTCACTGAACCTCTCACCTGTTTCATGGGGTCAAAAGTCTGCACCTGAAAGTGCATCTCAAGCCACAGACTTAGGAAAAATAGCTAGTGACGATGGAGAGCCAAGCATAACAAGAGGCTTGCAAATATATCTCTCTCCTCTTCTCTTTTTTTTTGCAGTTTAGGACTGAGAAATACTGACAGAGGTGGGCATATACCTAGGGAACACACACAAAATGAGTCACAAATCCAAGAGAAATTTTTTTCCCCTATGGAAAATAAATGTAAATAAAAACTTGAGTAGCTCTTACCTAATGTGTCTGTATACAGTTTTTTCTGTGGTTCCTCCATTGCAGGGGTTTCTTTAATCTTGAAAGCAGGAATCTCACCAGCCACTGTTGAGGATGGCAGATCTAAGCTTTTAACATCCCTGGCCCTATTCTCATTCTTTGATTCAAGCTCATGCTCTCTCCTTTTCGATCTTGCAAGATGAAATAGGGACTGATGAAGAGAAGAGCAAGCCTTGCTCCCTTTCAGCCTGACAGCCCCAGTAGTGGAATCACTGCTGCTTGTGCTACAGGAGAGATCCTGTTGTCTTGAGATCACTTGAATACCTTGTTTCCTTGGGGGTGATCTGCTGTACTTCTTAACAGACATTTTTTCAGTTCCTCTGGACTCATCACTAGCATAATCACCATCAGAGAGATCCAAATGTCTGTCAGTATGATCCACTCCCTGAGGCCCATGCTGGGAGGGATACTGAGCATAGTGAGATTTGGGATCATCATCACTGTTGGAGGATAAGCAGCTTGACTCACAGGATAAAGATGCAATATGCCACGTCGAGGCAGTTGTCCCCTTCCTTTGCCGCTCCTGCTGCAAGGCTGAGGATGAGCTTCCCTTCTCCACAGCCTCAGGTGAGCTACATGTAATTTTTACTATCTTATCATTGATCATCTTAAACTCGGTATGGATTTGTCTTTTGCTTTCTGAGCTCTGGCTCCCCGAAACAAGTTCCTGTGGGCATACCTGAACCCACCTCTGACCCTGTGTGAATGCAGGGCCTGCACTCCACTCTGCCTCCTTGATGCGATCTGTTTCTAAATCCTGAAGTGGAGAATGCTTTTGCAGGACTTCCAAGGTGGATTTTGCTCTCTCTGTGAGATGACCCTTCAGAGGCTGATCCACCCTACCTAGGTCCTTTTGCAGGGTACCCTCCACAGGTCTTCCATCAGTTCTGCCTGCTTGCCCTAGAGAATCTCTATGATGAGTTTCCCTTTCCTCACCTACTTGTAGGTTCATTTCTGTTACTGTTTCAGGACATGGTTGCAGGATTTCAGGCCACCTTCTCTGTGGTGAGTCAACAGGATTTTCCTTTGCATCTTCATCTCTCCCAATCACTTCTTTTTCTTCTGCACTTTGCTCAACTACTTTTGCTTCACAGTCAGTCTGAGCCTTTATCTCCCACTCAGCTAAAGCACAGTCTGCTTTTTTTTCATGTGTACCGATCTGCATGGAGCTACTGACCTGCAGATTTGACTGAGAGCATTCCCCTGGCTGCAGTATGCCTGCATCCCCTTGGCCAGTCTGGGAGAAATGACCCCAGGAGTCCAAACCAGCTCTTCTGGGATGCTTGCTGTCTTCTTTTAAAGGCTTCTGTTTATTTTTTTTGAGCCTTGCCATACCTTCTTTTCGTTTCAGAAAAGCCTTCTGAGGTGTTACTTTTGCCTTGCTCTGAAAAAAACACCAAAAATCCTGACAATCACAGTCTGAGAATCAGTCTCCAGAAAGGAAGATATTTATGATAATTGAAAAAGCCGAGACACCAGAAGTCTTAAAGACTCTGGCTATGGATAACTGAGTACATAAGTAACAGCCCCGAGACTACAGGGAAGGTACGAGAACTTTTAGAAGCAGTCGCTATGTGACGCCTCCATTAATTCATTAATGGAGTCAGATGGTTAAGATGGTGCTAAGTGTTTGTATGATAGAAGATGAGAAAAGTTCTGTCTGTCTTTGTTTTTAAAGGAAGTTTGAGTGTTTTTTACAATGTGACACAGAAATATATAAATGCATCAGTTTGAGATGTTATTTTGCCAGGGAGACATAGAGAAAATTCCCGAGTGATGAAATGTGCGTCTTCCAAGTCAACAAGCCTAACAAAATGCTGAGTCTGACACCTCTAGGTGTCAGACATAAACTCATCTCAAACTGCACATAAGGCAAAAAGCAGAACGGTATTACTGTACTTGCCCCTTTTACAAAAACTGTGTTTGGAAGTGCCCCCATTCTTGCATTAGTGGCACATGAGAGACTGCATGGACCATTTATTATGAAATAAACTAACGGAATCAACTTTGAGGCCTAACTCAGCTAAGTGTGTTGAAACTCGGGCACAAACTATGACCCAGAAAGTGTGTAGAAAGAGAAGAATCCAGTGGGAAACAGTGGGGAATATGACTGTGACTGAGTAATACAGGTTTTTTACTTTTGGGAAAAATCTTCCAATATCACATGAAAGAACAGTGGAAAAATGTGCTGCCATGCAATGAGCCAAAATACAGCCCACACAATACCCAAGTCCATGAGAACTTGTCAAAACCAAAGTGAATGCACCAATGGCACAGTACCTGCTGGTCCTTCTGCTGTTTTTCTGTGAGATGGTTGTCTACTTGAAGTTGTTCTTCAACAAATTCTTCAGAAGTCTTCTGTCTAATACCAATTGCTGGTGTGATTGGCCTAGGCAAGGAACAAGAAGGTACTTATTTGTAAGGTTCTCCAATTAGTTTTCTTTCGATAGTTCTCGTGGAGCTGATGTTGAATTTCTCTGCAATTTTTTTTTTTAATGTGAAGCATGTTAGTAAAAAGCCAACTATTATGTGACATCTAAGTCTCACTTTAAAACATCCTGTCTAGACTAAACATTAATTATGCTTTTAGCAAGTAACTTTTTTTTGCTGGTATCAGTCTCCTTAAAAATAGAAAATAGTCAAAAGGAAAAATATTTCAGGCATTTTCTCGAGACTACAGCTGGTTACAGTCACAAAGAACTCGCTATCTCTCTGACAGAGTGGTTTGAATTAGCTGGTGAAGAGTGATAGAGGAGAAAAACAATGTCTATAATGTTGTGGAGGGACAAATTGAACGCTGACTCAAAATGAAACATAATACAGCATACATGAACATCTCTCGTTTCATTGGAAATGTGCTTAGAGCCTTAATTTAGTCACTTACTAATAATTTCTACTGAATATTAAAAAATCCTGGGTTTAATAGAGGTACTGGTTATGCAGCACTTTACTGTTCTTTCTATACCCCACCTCCACCTAACAGCACTGTACCACAGATAATCTTTTCGTTTGTCAGTCTGGCTCTGTCTGTTAGCATGCAGCATGGTCTAATAGGATTAGATTTGTAGAGCAAACTGTTGTTGCTGAGGACTCAATGTTAGACAATACGTATTTCAGGGAAGTTCACTTCAAACCAACTATAGCCTGGTCCCATAGCAAAAATGTCATGAAGAGCTGGAGTACATTCTGTGCTTTGGTTTCATCCAGCTCATGCTAAGACCACAATGTGAACCAAAGCACAACAAGTGGGGGTGACTGGGAGACAGACTTCAGAAGCTCACTGCTGAGCCAAAAAGGCATATGTGGACAGGCCCACTTGCCCAGAGGTGCTTATGGTCCTGCCACCTCTTCCCAGCCTTCTGCTCTGGAGGTCCCTGTCTTCCTTCTGTGACCAACTCCCACACGGTTAACACACTGAAACGCACTCATGACAATTACTGTCAGTCTGTACTTGCCTAGAAGTTTGCTGCTTCTCTTTTATACTTGATTAGAAGACTCAGTGTGCCAAATGGCTTCTGCTTCTATCTGCATCAGGTGAGGAAAGGTAACAACTCTATGAGCATTTCTTCCATCACTAATGCCAACCTACCCATCACTAATGCCAACCTACCCATCCTTGCCTAGCCATGAGCACCCCCTCAGTGTGCTGGTACAACTCCTTTTGCAATGCAGTGATGAACCAGATCAGAGAACTGATCCAAGTTAAAAGTTACATTTCTCGTCTCTCCAGATAATTTTAACAAGGATTACTTCGCTGACCTGTTCACTATATAGGCACATAAAAGTTCGTCTTGGCACAGCTGAAGAGGCAGAGCAAGGAGAAGAATGAATGAGCTACTCAGACTGATGCTACCATCACAAACTGATGGCCACTGCAGAAGAAATGATGGCATAACGGAAGATGTTATCTCTCCCTGCCAACTTTTACCTTACTTCTATCCTTTGAAGGTCATAGTTGCAAAAACAGTTCATTTAAATTGGCTAAACCAGCATCCTACTATATAGAAGTAGATCAACTGCCAGTCCCTAGACCTGTCTAATCTCTGCCCATGCATACCTGCCACTCTAAAGCAAAGGAAAGAGCCTTTGTGTTGCAAATATAACACATACAGTATGTGTACAATCAAGGAAAACATGCTTTTGTAGCTTGACTGACTGATTAAGATCATTTCCCACCTGTCTTCTATGTTTCCAGTCTTCATCTTCCCCTCTATGCCAAAGAGAGATGGAGGAATCTCCTCCTTTACTTGTTCTCTTTGTTCTTCTTTGACAGCAGAAAAAGTTTCAGGGAAACTCCTTTCTTTTAATTGACTGTTATCTAAGCAGCAGGAAAAAGGTCAATGAAAAGAAAGCCTTTATAGAATGAATAAATGAAAAATAAACATCATAAAATAAGTTAGAAATGTTTATATTTTCAACAACATATGCCAGATTTTGATTTTTGAAAACACTTTATAGAATACAATTGAATTAAGTAGGTGGAAGGATGCAGCCCATGAAAAAAAGAGGCTCCTGATCCTCAAGTCTAGTTGCTGGAAGTAAGGAAAGGGCAAATGGTATGATTTGTACTCCTTGCCTCTAGAGATTTGTAATGCTTCGTTAACATGTTCACTGCAGAACATTGCAGTGGAGACACTTTGCTAGATGGTACTGAACTACTCATGTATCTGTAATTATGTGACCTACAAGCCAGTTCATTAAACAGTTTAACAAGCTGTATTTGTACACATGAGACTTTCTAACTGGGCATTTTCTATTCTATTTCACAAAAGTGCAAATTTGTACATTTTCCTATTGAAGCTTACTGGCTATGTTCACTACGACAAGCAGGCTCCCACTTCAGTTACTCTTTTCTCTAAGTGTCAGCTAAGGGAGACTTGCTCTTTTAGCTCAAGTTAGGCCTGTCAACTGAAGCAAAAAGCCTTTACTGGCTCATTCATACTACACACTGTTGCTGTAGCCAGGAACTATATAGCTCACTTCTTCACATTAATGCACCCAGTGCTACTGAAGTCCTTTGCAACATACTTAAAAGACTTTCTGGTCCAACAACAGGAATACAAAAGCTTTACATCCTTCCCTCAGCCTTTCCCAGCTACACACTAAAAATCTCCAGTCCAACAGCAGACAAGCAGTGCTGTTTCTGCAACCTTCTCACCTGCCTTGCACCAGAATATGGCTGAGGAGGCAGAGGTGACACAGCAGGTTGATAGCAGCAAGGGACAGAGAACCCATGTGTCCCTCCTCACAGTCTCATGTATGGGGCTATGCTGTCTCCAGAATGCTCTAATAGGAGGTGTGCCCCAGCACTCTAATTTTCAACTAGTGCTTCCCTGTGCAAGGCAAGAACAATGTGTCCAAGCAGCTGTGTAATTCACCTTTGTTTTCTTTTCTGTTCTCCTCTTGAGCATCTTGTCTGGAAAGGTTTTTTGTGCCACTCTTTGTACACTGAAGCAAGGGCTCGGTGCTTATCCCTTTAAATAAGATTGTGAAGTGTTATACAAAGCTGTGGGTACACTCATGTTTATGTTTCCAGCAATAAAAACCCACACTCGTCACAACAGTCAGGAAGGTCTCAGTTCAGCCCAGTCCTCAAGCACACATTCAACTGAAGCATATTTCAAAGGCAACTGCACTGACCAGCTTCCAGTCAGGAGTCAACCTGATGTACTAAGGCCTCTGCACCTTCAAGCCTTAGTTTTGCACACGCGAAGCAGGTCTAAGTCAGTGCTGCTGTCAAAAAAAGCAGTCATACCTCCCCCTGTCCTAATGCGTTCTTGCTCTCAGGTTCCTGCTGTCCTCATCCACCCCCACACCATTTTTGCGGGCAGAAGTATTTCTGAGGCTCTCTGATAAACTTCACTGGGCAACTGACCCACGTTCAGGTTAACCCAGCAAGAAAATAATAGTGCCAGGCACAAGAAGGAGACAAGACTCTTTCAGTGAGAGTACTGGTCCTGAGCTAGCTTGAAGAATATGCAATTAAAGTTTCAATTGTACTGCGGGACTGTCTCACGGCATCACAGTCAGGTTTGCTATAAAAGTTCAAAGGAATCCAGGATGCAGGTCTGATTTACATTCTCTTCCCCTTCAAGCGGTTTCATTCCCACTTCTTTTTGTTCCTCTTTCCCCCATTTTGAAATCAACTTTTGATTTCTTGCAAATCGCTCTTTCTTCTTTCTCACTCTTTGGTATGTTCCCACAGAAGACAAGGCTGGCAAAGTGTAGCAAAGAGAAGACACCAAGTAGCAGCTTACATTGTTTTTCCTCCAAACGATGTAACTCCATATCAATGTGAGAAACACCAAGATTGCTGACGAAGAACAGACCTTCTTAGCTAAAGAAACACATTCTCTCACTTTTAGAAGCTATATTCACTTCCTACATTTTATGCTTCTCCCCCTAAATATAACATACTTCCTACTTCGTATAACATAGCTTTTCCAATTTGATGACTTTCTGCTCCATTTATATCTACAAGGCCCAATTTCTCTGTCAGTACGACAGGGAGGATGACTGTGATTCAAAAAGTAAAAAAATCAAGTTTAAAATACTTTAAGAGCTTTTATAACAAGCCACCATAAAAACAAAGCACCTTTCCCTGACCTGCAATAAAATCAGTAACTATCACTAGCAAGGGCAAAAATTCACAGGATTTGCACAATAGCCTTAGCTTCGGATTTCCAGCACTTTTTACCCACCTGAATCTGAAAGCTGCACTTGCTCTCCTGAGATTTCTGAACTGCTCTCGTTCGGCACGAACAGCGGGGATCTGCTTTGCCAAGCAGAGCGCATTGCCAAGGGAGAGGTCTGTAAGCACTCTGGGCTCTCAACCTGGGAAGAATTTTCTGATGGGAACTGGACAGGAATGAAAGTAGCTGGAAAGCACGGAAGGGGTGGCATCGTGGCTACTAGGTGGGAAGGTATCCCAGGAGAAACAGAAAAGCCTAAAAATAATTACCAGAGAAGAAAAATTAGAGACGCTTAAGACAAATATTTTGCACGGAACTAGGAACCTCTTGCTAAACTGGTGTTGTACAAAACTGATGTTGCTTTCATGTTCCCTGGTAGTTCGCATGTTCAGAGTGAAATTATCAAATTCTGCTTCTGTTATTTTATTTAAATTGTGCTTGCTGCAACCATCAGTCATAACCAAAATTATCATATGCTACAGGGATGCTGAATTAAAGAGAATTTACAAAGTACTCCTGAGCACATAAAACACACATTTCCCCTAGGACTCCTGTTGTGGTTTAACCCGGCAGGCAGCTAAACACCACACAGCCGTTTGCTCACTGCCCCCTGCTCAGTGGGATGGGGGAGAGAATCAGGGGAAAAAAGTAAAATTCGTGGGTTGAGATAAAGACAGTTAATAGGACAGAAAAGGAAGGGAAAATAATAATAATGATAAAAGAATATGCAAAGCAAGTGATGCACAATGCAACTGCTCACCACCCGCCGACCGATGCCCAACCAGTCCCCGAGTAGGGGTCGCTGCCCCATGACCAACTCCCCCCAGTTTATATACTAAACATGACATCACATGGTATGGAATGTCCCTTTGGCCAGTTGGGGTCAGCTGTCCTGGCTGTGCCCCCTCCCAGCTTCTCCCTGGCAGGGCTTGAGAAGCTGAGAAGTCCTTGACTAGTGTAAGCACTACTTCACAACAACTAAAACATCGGTGTGTTATCAACATTACTTTCACGCTAAATCCAAAACACAGCACTGTACCAGCTACTAGGAAGAAAATTAACTCTATCCCAGCTGAAACCAGGACAACTCCTTAAGTCCCTTAGCAGGTAAAAGTTAAGTATTGCAAAGTATTGCTGAGGCACTCCTCAATGCGAAAGAGGGGAAGGTTTTCCTTTTAGCTCTGGATGGCTGATTGCACATTTTATTAGAAGAATTCCAAGTGGAAAAGATGTAAGCAGCTCTGCATAGGGACCGGAGGCCAGGCTCACTACTTCCAGGAAAGAAACCCCTTTATAAGGTTACAAAATACCGGCTCGCTTCTTATTTTCTTTCTCCACACCATGATTCCTTTCTGTCCTGTGACCTGACTTCAACAAGAAGAACAGAGAGTGCCTGCAACTGAAATTGCCTCACCCCCCAGTTAAGGCATTTTTCTGGAAGAAGGCTGATCTGTGGATTCAAATCCTGTCTGGCACAGACTCAAAAAAAAAGCCCAACTCCCTGCTTCTGGACAGATGCTCTAACCACACAGCTAGCAGGTGGGCAGAGCCACTTCTGTCTGTGTTACCATGAGACATTAAAATGCAAACCTGTAGTTCAATGAGGTTTTGATTTGGTCACTGTATTATTTTTTTAAATGCATGGCAATATTAAAGTAACTACCTTTATCATAATGAGATAAATCGTAGCCCTAGTATCTTCATATTTTACCTCTTTAAAGCTTAATGGGACCAGATTATGCAATGTCTTTTGCTACCCTCAACCTACACTGCCTCCACTAACAAATGAGAACTTTCAGTGCAGATTTTGGTCGGCTTTTCATTCAGGTAACCATTTTGTCTGTGGCTTTATATGCTACCCAAACAGCATCCAATCAATATATTTCTTACTGTATGAGCTTGGTCTTGAGTTCATGGTACAAACTGTACTTGCTTTCTTCAGAAATGTGTCAAGTGATTTACAGCACTGGGGCAGGGGGAAGAGAAATTTGCATGATGAAGCGTAACAGGACCCAAGGCACTTTCCTTCTCACACTGTGCAGTCCTTCCTGAGAACCTGAAGAAAGTGGTGCAGCCTAACTGTTTTGCTCACAGTGAACCAGTGGAAGTAACAACAAGCATCTTGCTACTTGCGGCATTTGGGCAGGGATTGATGAGCAACATAATTGCACCGTGGATGTTCTGCTTTGATTAGGAAACTTGGAAGCCGCAGACTGTGTTCTTGTTCAACCTGGTCATCGCAGACAGCTTGCTGAGCATTTGCCTGCCATTTCAACCAGACTTTTCTCTGAAGAAAAAAGCACAGGATCATGAAGACTTCATTTACTCAGCCATAGCCTTCATTCTGTCTTTTTCTCAAGCTGTCTCCCTAGTATTCAGCAGTGGCTCTTGACAGCTATTTTGCAGTGGCATAGCTCCATCAGGAAAATCGGTACAACGACAGCCAGGCCTGCTGGTATCACTGCTGGTGCGGCTTGGCTTCTGGCTGCAGGGTTGATGATTGAGATCCTGCTTACTGCCCCCAACCAAAAAAACTGATTGTCACACAGCATCAAGTTTGAAAATGAGACCTTCAAACAGATGTGACACTGTGTTCTTTCTCAAGTTTCTTGTTCCCTTCAGTCTCATATTGCTTTGCACTGCTGGCATCATCGGGAAGCTCAGAAAGGTCCCCACAACACAAGCAGACAACCTAAGCTGCAGAATGCCAGGCTTTTGGTGGTCACTGTGAGGGGGGTGTTTGGCCCTTGCTTCCCACCTGGTGCATATACCCCAGTGTACACCTACTGCTTGCATACATGCTCCGCAGCTCTGACAGCTGTACAGCTTTTCAAGTTAGAATCATAGGATCATAGAATAGTTTGGGTTGGAAGGGACCTCTAAAGGTCATCTAGTCCAACCCCCCTGCCATGGGCAGGGACATCTTCAACTAGAGCAGGTTGCTCAGAGCCCTGGCCAACCTGACCTGGAATGTTTCCAGGGATGGGGCATCCACCACCTCTCTGGGCAACCTCTCCCAGTGCTTCACCACCCTC